CCTGCTGAAGGGCCAAGCAATGCTGCTTTTCTCCAGAGCTGTAACATTTTCTTATCTAAATGTCAGTGAGATAAAAGGAGCTTTCTTAGTACTTGGTGTTCAGTTCAAAATAATATCTAATTATGCAGCATAAACGGGACAGGTTTCAAGTTTGCCTTGATTTACTACTAAGTTTGTTAGGAAGGAGAGCAATTTGAAAGTACTCTTGCTCTTTGCTGGTGGGAAAAGGGACTACGCTTGTAGAACAAGAATATGAGTGAGAACAGTCATGATAAGAAAGTATCAGGAAAGATGACTGTTTTCAAAAGACGCAAATAGTATTTGTCCTTTTTGTGTCTAGAAGCCTAGGCTCTGTGTTGTGCAGACTGCTGATCCCAGAGCTCTAACTCTGACCCAGTGATGCACATAGCCCTGTTATTTGTTTTCCTTTTTTCCCCCCTATAAGTGGCTGACCTGAAATGAGGACTGACAGGCCTCCGTTCCCGCTGAAGGTCAGAGGATTTTCTGTTTACAGAGAGATTGCCCTTAAGGTATTGCTGACCTTTCAAAGCAGATTGTTGCTGAACTCACTGGTCCTTCTGCATTAAGAATGGACCTGTGTGACTCACATACAGTAATCCATGAAAGAAAGACAGCCTAAGCCATCCCATGGAAGAGAAAACTGACATGCACTGACAGAGCAACACAATGCAAGAATGGGTTAGGAGGCAAGTAAAAACTTGTCTAGTAGGGAGACCTGGAGCAGAGAGCTAACCCCAGACCTCCCGTATCCTGGGAGGTCACCATAGCTTCTAGACATTTCGGGAGAGTCTTTATCCCATTGATATTATTCTCTCTGTATCAATGAGTACAGAGCAGAACTGGGAATGAGGCTTTCCCCAGTGACTAACTGAGGGTTTGGAGACAATGGAAAAGGATGCCTGCCTGTTTTAGTGCCTGGGCTATCCTGGCTGAGGCTCCTCTTGGAAGAGACACTGCACCTGAGACCTTGGAGCTGAGAGGAGCGTCCGTCTACCCCTGGCAGCAGAGATCTGACTGTTTGGGACCAGGACGGAAGTTGGGGTAGTTGTTTGATATTCTGAAATGTTCTCATCAATTCTCACATTGATGAATTTTCCCTTCATCAGTCCTTCTATGCCTTTTCCTCTGGCTACCTTAAGCAGCTGCCCACTCATACCACTGATTTCTGTTCAGTGTCTTGCTGTCTTCCAGGATGGTGGGAGATTCCTGAGCACTTTGCTGAGGATTAAGAATTCCACAAGACAACAGGGCACTAAAGATTTGTTGTAATGCAAAAGCACCTTTGCGGTTTTAACCCTAAGATTAGGAGAGGTTGCAGTTATGAAATAGCTATGTTAATTTTTTCCTGAGGCTTGGGGAAACAATTCTTTGGTTCTGGGGAGCAAATAATCTCAGTGTATTACTGTGGTTTGCTCATTTACAGCTCTTCCCTCGTATAAATTGCTTATGCAACACCTCTTTCCATTGTACACTTGAATGAAGGATGGCACTGCTATGGTGAACACATTGTGTTCCACTTCAAAGGCAGTTAAGTTTCATAACTAGACTTCCAAGTTTTCTCAAGTTCATGCATAATTGGTTTACCAAGGTACTTTGACAAGAGGCACTACTGAGATACAAGCTGATAGTAAATCTGCTTTTAAAAGAGTCATTTCAGGGATATGTGAAGTTGAAAGGCAGAAACTTCATCTTCATCTGGTCTTGTTGAACCACTAGTTTAGATTAATCTTTTCAATGATTATATGCTAAATTATAATATAATTAATAAGTGCTCGTGTAGGCACTAGCAAGAACCAACAAGGATGGCATGGAGATTTTAAGTGAGAACAGTCAGGATATGAAGAGGTGGGGAATTTTTCTCTTTCAAATCAATGATGATTAAAGAAATCTTGTAAGATGAAAGGTAAAATAGCTTTTTTGTGTGTTTAGTCATGCCTTAAAAGAGAGTATTTTGTGGCAAAACTGACCTTTTATTATTAACAGAATTATTATTATACTGTACTTCTCTATTTTAGAGGAGGAATTCCTAGCGATAAGGATTAAGGAATTCCATAGTAATATCTTTGTTTTTCTTTATGGAAAAATGCTTTATGTTCTAAAAAATTATCTAAGTGGTATCCAAATAAAAGGACTTACAAGTAAAATAACTCATTGGGAATGCAATCCTTAACAAAATGAATGAATTGGACTGCAGTTTATTCAGTAGGTAATCTAAAACAAAATAGTAATGTGCAAAAATATTTCAATCTATACTCTACTGTGACATATGTTTTTTTATGATTCAGCAAACCTGCACACTGTAAAAATATTCTCTGGAGCGACTGAATTATTACCAGGCAGGCTAATTGTCTGTGGGTTTTTTCGTTGATTTGAAGCCACATCCCGAAGCTCTTAATCAATCCTACCTAATTCTGTGAGCATGTTAATTAAAGCTCTCATTAAGGTTAATTGAACTCTTGTCTGAATGAGACCTTAGCAATGATTTCAGGAATACTTCAGAGTTACTATTGGAAGTAGGGATATGAGTGTGAATGAGTATGAGAGACAGAGAGAGCTTTATAATGTTTGTTACATACCAGCAATAGCCCTGGGATCTCAGATGTTGCTTTATTTGAATGAAATTATTCTTTTTTTTTTTTTTCTTCAAATTCAAATGAATTTCTTATATGCCAATAAAAGGTGTCTGTCTGAAAACTTATCCACTTCCTTGCAGGCCCATTCATCTGTGGAAAGGGCTGCATTAATTGGTGGTGTGAAGATAAAAAATGTTTCTTCAGATGAAGAATTTACTGTTTGTGGTTCAGCCCTAAAGAAAGTTCTGGAGGAAGACAAAGCTGCTGGTCTTATCCCATTCTTTGTAAGTACTGAGTTTTAATTCATCAATGGATTTATTGTTTCAGATAGGCTATTTCTGAGATGAGTAAATGATCTCATCCCTAACAGAGGGGTTGATAGGCAGGCTAGCTAGAATATTAGAATGGGTTCCGTGAACGTTCTTCACTCATGTGAAGAGTCATTTTAAACATTTATGGATGCAGGAAAATAACTGTAATCTTGAGGCATTTTGGAAGCGTAGGAGGCAGTTCTTTGAAGGGGGAGCAACTCATTTGAGTAGTTGGTTGCACTTCAGAGCAAAGATGGTATTTTAAAGGGAGTTCAAGTTGTATTAGACAGTTGAATACATGCAAGTGAATTCGTAGTTACATTTAATCCTGCAATGTTATAATCTCTTAACACTTGAATTCCAACTTGCCTCTGTCACAAAGGTATACCTTTACTCTTCAGGTCCTAATTTACACCTAAAACAAATTTAAAAACAATGAATTAAATGATGTGCTCTTCAACAAACAAAAGTCTCCCCTCCTCGCTACTTTGGCAAAGGAAAGAGCATCTGCAATTTACCCTAAATATTAGCAAGATCATACTTTGTCAGGCAGGAATTTGTTACCTCTAACAGGTGAGCTATAGCTGATCTATCTGTGG